CTCAGTGTACCAGCGGCCCTGCCTCAGTCACAAGGTCTGAGCTCCACTTGTGGGCCGTGAACGCCTCACCTCCTCTCTCCTCCTCAGTGAGTCCCAGCTGAGCTCCGTCCTCTCCTCTCCTCTCCTCTCTGCTCTGTCCCGTCTTGTTGTTGTTGTTGTTGTTGTTGTTGTTGTTGTTGTTGTTGTTGTTGTTGTTGCTGTTTTCGCCCCTCCGAGTCCTCTCCGTTCCGGTGGATTCATGCTCAGCTCTCGCCCTCCTCGGTCGCCATGCAGAACAACCACCATAAGGAGCACCTCTACAAGATCCTTGTGATAGGGGACCTGGGGGTCGGGAAGACCAGCATCATCAAGCGCTACGTCCACCACAACTTCAGCCCCAACTACCGCGCTACCATCGGGGTGGACTTCGCCCTCAAAGTCCTGAACTGGGACCAGGAGACGGTGCGCCTGCAGCTGTGGGACATCGCGGGTAAGGGGCCAACTTTTACGCACGGCGCACACCGAGCGTACCCGTTTGGTGAAAAAATAAATATATATATATATTTTTTTTTTACAGAGAACTGATTTCATTTTAAGCCGCAAAGATGTGTTCATATAAGAAGTGAAATGCAGTGAGAGTTAATATGTTTGAAACAAACTGTTGTCTTGAAAAGCAGCTCAGTAAATCCACCTTTCAACCACAAAAGCTGTTTCAAACAGTTAAAAAATCAAACACTTTATTTTAATTTACCAACTTTTAAACTAAAACCAAAGTTATTTTTGAGTATTATCTGACATGTATTGATTCAAGAGATTAAATAATCCCCAAATCTCCACCACTTTCCTGCATATATAAGGTAAATTTTTATTTCTCTCCAAATGGAATGGTTTTCAGCTTAATGGTTAATCCCTTCATGCATAATAGAACAGAGTAGTGTGATGCCAGATCACATGGTAACACACTCCTACAGGTTCAACTACTGTAAAAAATGTAGATATAAAATGAGCCATAAAAAAGGCTTTAATAAAATGGCTCCTGTTTTTATGGATCTCAGGATGAATGTGGAGCTGCTGATCCTTAGGGCCCAAAACCAGAACAGCTGCCATTCTACACCTGCATTACAAGTTTTTGCACCGTTTCAATGTGTATCTTTAAATGTTATATATGTTTATATGTTATGGACAAATTGAGTTTTTTTTTGTTTGATTTATTATTATTTTTAATTAATTGTTCCTTTGAACACTTTAGTGCGTACTGCTTTAATTACCTTTGGTGCCTGTTGTGAGAAATAATGCTGCCTTTTGAGTGGAACGCCGCTGGGCGAGATGACAACGCTGAAGGCTACAGAGGCCTCATGTCACATGAGAGTCGGCTGAGGTTTAGAAGAATCCTCTGACCTGCTGTGCTCTCTCTCTCTCTCTCTCTCTCTCTCTCTCTCTCTCTCTCTGTGTGTGTGTGTGTGTGTGTAGAGAGAGAGAGAGAGAGAGAGAGAGAGAGAGAGACCAGCCGTACTTCCTGCACAGCGGGAGGGGAGGAGGGGA